CCCCATTTCTTTGCTGATTTTCTTTATTAGATTCCAAAGAATATTGAGGTTATTTAAAAGAGAAAAAATAGGATTGTTCTGGGCATATAGAAAACATTAAGATGTTTTAGAACAGATGTACTTAATATTCCTCAAGCCACTTATCTTGAAGTTTTAATAGTTCACTTGCTCTTGATATTAGACAGGAATGTGTCAGTGTATTTTTGTGCTCTGTAGTGAAATAAAGATTAAAGTATACAAATGCAATTTCCTAGCTCTGTAGATTGTCCGTAATGTTTTCCAGTTGAATTGAGGATGACAGACTAATAAGTTGTATATAGCAACTTGGAAAAAAAGCTTTTGGATTTTATTCCGATAATTTTTATCCTAATCTAACAGCAATTAAGTTCATTAAGAATCATTTCTGGTTCTTATATTATTGACCTCCAAGGGTCTGATCTTACATTAGCAAAGTTAACGAGAACGTATGATTAACTTCAGAGACGTGAAATCTGACTCTAACTGAGCTCCAAAAAATCATTTTGAAACATGCTTCCTTTCTAGCCTTTCCTCAAAAAACTGTATGTCTAGCCTCCTCAACAGGTATTTAGATACGTCTCTTTTATTATTTTAAATGTGTGTTAACCCTCCGTAGAGCTCTGCCTTACAGTACTTCCTTTTTTCACTTTTCATCTTTAGACTTAGTGGTGCACACATGATAACATGTGTAATATGATAAGAAAGTAATAGATAGAAAGTAATATGATAATGCTTCTCCAACAGCTACATTTTCATGTATCTTTACAGTCATGATGGCATAATGTCATGATTGTGCTTGACTGTACATGATCCATGATAACATCTCTTAAAAATATTTTTGGAAATGGCTCTCCAAATATTTCTGTGCTTACATGTCCTACATTTTTTAAAATGTTCTAAATGTGACAGGAGTTGCATTGCTACAATGAGGGATTTCTATATATTTCCATTATAAAACCCAATATATGTCTACCTTGCAACTTTTTGTCCTGCTTATTTCTATGCTTCCCTTTGCTTTGGAATATTACACATATATACATACGAACACACATGCAATACAGATTGTTGGCCTTCTTGAGAATTGCAATGTTTTTTTTGAGCATGTTTGGCTCTACATTCTACAAAATGCATTTTTGTGTGGTGCAAAATATAATAATTTCTTCTGGTTAGTTAGTGATAATATTGCTGTTTTTGTATCA